CGAGACCAATGTGGAGGTTCACGGAACTCTCCGTAGAGAACCGTGCCTCGAAGAAATTCCTTCCTTTTCTTGTCCGTCCGCGCGTCAGAATTTCTGCGTTGTTCCAGTTAATTGTGTGTCCTTCCTCATCGAAATGCGCTACGATACATAATGGTGTCGATATGCACGCTTGTGCTGTTGTATTCTTGTAGATAACTTTCTCCCCGTTTGACCTACGTATTCTTTCTTACAGTTCTCGCACTGGATCCTGTAGAGGACATTTTGGCGTTCGTATGCGTTCAATTTTTATTTTGGTATACATAAGATTCTTTTCAAAGTCGTAGTTGTTTTGTGAGCTATTATCAAGTTGTGCGGCTTGAGGAGCCTGGCTGAGTTTTCCGATACGTTTTTTATGTACGGCAAGGCGATGTGTATCGCCGTTGTTGGTGCAGGTGCAGTAGTTGTGCTCCTTCGGTTTAGGTGTCTTCGGATTAAACTGCATGAGTAGCCGTTGCGAATGAAAGACATAAACGGATGTTCCACTTCCTTTCGTTTTGCCTCCGCAGTATTGCAATGCGATTCTATCCGACGAAACAGGGTCCGTATACAGCTTATTTTGTGACACTTAAGATGATTGATTTTAAAGTTCAAGATTTGGCCAGTGTGTTGCTTTTCTGTAATCTGAGGTTTATGATTCGTCTTCCACTGTTCTAATAACCAACAGGTCCAAAAATGTTACTTGGTTTTCCACCTCTTCGTCCATGGTGAAACGAATGCCTTCCATTGCATTGTTAAGTAGGTCTTGTGCGGTCTGTAGCTGATTGCGTTTGAGACTCACAAACTTATCGTCAATGCATCGCACCCATAATTTTGAACTAATGAATGGGAGTATATCCTGTTCCAACCTCTGCATGACGACTTCCGCATTAAGTCTAGATATGGGGGATGCCATTGGAAATCCTCCAACTTGCTCTTTAAGCACTCCGTTTAATTTGACGTAGGTAGTAAGACGCAACTCAAGGAGCTTGCATATGCTTGCAACTGTTAGCTTCCCAGTCTTTTGTGCTCCACTGTTCAGACGTTCTCTGATGCTTTCTTTCGCTATCTGTAAATTGATGGAAATGATAGGTGCGGTGACATCAAAGGAAACCATCACTTCTCGTGGTCTATCCGCATGCATTTGAGCTTTTTCCAAAATTGATGAGCAGCATTGATCGAGTATTACGATCCGCTGGTCAGATGTTTGAGTCCATTCCATAATCCTTTAGGCAAGTTGTAAATTGGCGTACCTGGGAGTGATAATATTGATCTTAGCGGCACACCCTCTTTGTGCACTTTAGGGAACCCGTAAAACGTTACGTCTCGACGACACTTTCCGTGAGAATTTCCTCTACGGAGCAGGGCACTGAAGATGCCACTGAGGGAAGTGGTGAACCGTTTGTCATTAAATTACTCAACTCGAAAAACAAGTCAAAACATTAACGACATAATTTGGGAGAGTTTGCTGACTGTCACACTCGGAGGGTAAGGAGAGGTTTTAAAGGCATTCCAACCAGCCACACTAGATTGTCCGTTTCGAAAGATGATCTCTTACGTTAGTGTTGCGGTTCTATTCTAGCAACGGACAGCAAATGTGGTTTGGGTGTCCCAAATTCTGATAAAACGTTATGATATCCCACTCTCAAACGCCGATATCTATCGCAGTAACTTTCTATAGAATTAATCGTAAGTTTCTAAGACAAGTGGAATAGGCCGCTAACGTTCTTGGTTACTGTCCTTTGAGGAGTCACGTTAGGAAGGAAATCCTGTTTTCGCCATGTCGTCCACGCTTGGATGGTGTATCCCAGGTGCGGTCGCATGTATGCGTTTAGCATTTGTGGTTTTAAACTGAATAAACGCTCCGTGAAACAGTCCATCTACTTGATTGCCGGTTAGCATACCCACTCTGCTTGGTCTGGTCATCCGAGATCGTGTTTCTTCAGTGCATCCAAGTCACGCGCCTGAAGGGCGCTTTGCAAGGTGTGGACTCCAAACTTGTAAACGCTCACTGGATGATTACAAAGGTGGATCGCCCACCACTTAGCTGTTTTTAATTGGAGTAGGCTCGTCGTTGACTATTTATAAATGCAATCCAGGTCTTGTTAAAGTAAATCGTGAATTTCCGTGTAATTACCTGTTCTCCGGATCTTTTAGTCGTCAGCGAAAAGCAAGAAATTGGAGGAGATATCATTTGCCGAGGCTTTTAGAAACACATGGAACAGTTGGGGTCACAGCATCGAGCCCTGTTGGACACCGCATTCTACCATAATCAGATTGGTTAGTGATCCCCTAACACTTAACTGAAGCTATTTCGTTTAAGAAAAAGCCAATCCAATCACTAACATGATTTTCAATTCCATCGCTCTGTAGCCTACGAAGTATGATGCGGTGATTCGGGCGGTCGAAAGCTTTGGAGACTTTTAGACACATGCTTTTGACTCCAAACCCATCATCCGTCGCTTCTGTGACATCGTCAGGTTCGTGGTGCATGACTGGTATTAAAAAAGGCTTTCTGCTCTGTTGCCAAGTGGTTACGTTTCTCCCGATAGCCCATAATTGTCTTCGAGACGACCGTCTCCATCACCTACATGAGTACGTGCAGGAGACTCACTGGGCGATAGTTTCCAGGGTCTGAACGTCAATCGTCTCTAAAGTGTGTTAATAATGCCATGCCACCAGTTAGCGGGAACTTGTTGTTCATTGAAGTATACTTAGAAGAACTGTGACAGTTGGTCGGCCGACTTGTTAGCCTCAGCATTCAGTGCTATTGGGCGGAAGTCGGCTTCACTAGAATTTACTTTCTGCGCACAGTTGCTTGGTTGAAAATTACATGTGTGAAACCTGGAGTCGGTAATATGCTCGACGTAATTTGAGACATTATGCTATTAGTTCGTAAACCGAGGCGTATTGTAGCCGCAGGCTATTGACTGCTTCATCGGCACTTTGTATGCTACCGCCTGTTGTGAAAGGTGTATAGTTTGCCATGCTTTATTTTTACAAAAACCGTTGACATACCTGTACGGAAGTTCGTAGCTTGAAAAAACTTGTTGGCTTGACACAATTGCTAAGTTGATTTGCCTTCATGGGGATTAGGCAGTTACCTCAAGCGTCTGAGTCTGGGTGAGCCTTGTAAATCGAAGTCACTGGCAATGAGATTATGGCTATTCCTAGGGCGTGTTTCCCTGTTCAACTCACCTAGCAAGCAGGAATCCATTTCCAGTGCGGATTTGGCGGTAAATGGTAGCTTATAGACATGGGTCTTTGTGTCTCAATCGGAGACGGTACCAGAGTGAGTCGGTAACAGGTGTTTCCGGATCATCATCTATTGCACATGGCAGATTACTGCCGTAATAGAAAAGAACCCCGCCTTCTCTACTAGGACGTTTGTTCCGGATGAGTGATATTTCCGCCATCTCAACCTCAGTGTCAACCACTTCTTTAGGTAACCAGGTTCCGTTAATAGAAATTAGGTCCAACGCAATCGCAACCTGACTTAGCCGAAGTCCGGTAATCGTAGTAAAGAGCGTTTAAGCATTGGTGCACTCAAATGAATGTTTCTTAGATTTCAGCAAAGTTCGGAGATGGTGCGATTAATACCTGATGCTTCGCCGACCAGTGAGTGACCGGAGACTAAACGCTTTTCTGTAGGTACTAAGAGCTGGTTCGATATCTTATTCATCTGCTGCATAAGTTGTTCCATCTTCTACTTAGCGCGTAAGGTCTAGTGACACTTATTTTATCAAGCTTTTGTATAGACCCCGCAAACACACTGTTGGTGCAGTTTTCTATTGTTATTCCAGTCGCGTTTGCTTCCTTGGGTGACATATCAAATCCAGCGGCATATCGCTCGCTTGATTCAGCCAAAGCTCAGATAGCAGCCTGCAACAAAACCCACACCAGATTTGCAGCAGCGTTGCTGCCAAGTGTTTTGAGTGTAGGACCGCCTTCAACACTCCCGGTCCACATCGTTTGCAGCTTGGTGACGGTAGCAGCTGTGACACCGATTCCGCTAGTACGTCATTCACGGAGCGTTTCAAGAATGTACCACCACTATTTCTTGTCATGTTGTTACTTGAAGCTAAGCGCATGCTTCAAGAACCCTGGTGATAAGTTTGGTTCTGGTTAAAATTATTCGCACTGGTCTTCTAAGCTACAATTAATTTGAGAATGCTCGCCCCATAAGGTATCTTGAATGCGACGGATGGAGCAGTGTACATATTTGAATCGACCTGTCGATAGCAGAACTGATCCGACTTTGTGATGGAGTTCAACATAACGCGCAGAAAGCTTCGCTCCTCGTAATGCTGAGCGTTGTGGTGCCACATGATTCGCATTACCTGTTCTGGTTTCAATACTGACATGAGTTGGTTAATAATGACTTCCCATTCGTGGAAGCGAGGATTGTGGATCCAGAGGGTATTTCGGGTAGCAGGAAAAATGTTACTGATAGAGAAAAGGTTCCTGTTAACCTAATTGCCAAAGCGACACCGTTGACTTTGCTAGCTAGAGAGAACAACGGCACAGCACACTTGGTGGTCAAGCGAAGACCGGACGAACAAAAGCGTCAAACTTCGCCGGCAGTCGATTCAAGCAGTCAAACTCAACATGCAATTCAACAAACCGCCCTGGTCGTCTAGGGGTACAATGAACTAATAAGTATTGCTCGAATTTTACACAGGCAAAGCGGGAACCTCCAGACTGTGAGTGGGGCTTTCAAATTGCCAGTTGTGGTTGCACCTTAGAACATCGTTTATTTTCCTTTATTTACTGCGGACCTATAATCTTTGTCGTTTAACTGAACCACATTACAGTTGTCAATGTTATCGTACTCTGCCGACGTTTTCAAATCGTTTTGGATTAAGGCGCATACAATTATTTTCTCGACTGCAGTCATAAAGCTAAGAACAGGTTCAAATGGATGGTGAGAAAACAGTATGAAAACATGAAAAAGATCGCGCTCGTTGGGAATTCGGCCCCCGATGATGTTCTTTGTAGAAAATGCACGTACCACTCGTGTGGTAATGAAAGTACGTTGCTCCAGAGGATAATCATCCTCTCCAGAAACGTGTCTTCATTGCTTTGAAAAATCTCGGACCTCACAGTTCTTATACAACGAAACGAATACCTAAACCCAGGTATTATTACTTTACAAGAAAGCTGGTTGTACCCTGAAGTTAAAGACGAAATTATAAACATCGGTGAATGCCGTTCCATTTGGTCCAATAACCCAGTTAAGCCAAGGAATCTTGGTGGCGGCATAATCACGTACTTTAACCAACTCTGATGCAATTCAGTCATACAACTGTGCACTCAATCCACAAGCTACATTAGCTGTCATTTACTTGCATGTAAGTCTTGGTTTCTCAGTGGCTTTCAATCCGTTGTTATCGGATGTTTCGACATTACTCCTGATAAATCATCGCCTGAGCCGAGGATTTTCGTTTAGCAAATTTCTTTGGTATTGCTGTGGAAACTAGAAAGCTCTGCCTGCATTGTTGCAACTTACTAATAAATGCGACATAACGGTATTCAAATCCCTTCTGTGGCAAATTTAGTAACATTTCCGACCAGACTAGTCGCCCCGCTTGATGTTATTTACACAAACAAAATTCGTTCGTTTTTCATTCAAAAGCGTGCACCACAATGCAGCTTAGAACATTGTTTACTGAGGATTTGTCTTACCATCTACAGTAAAACCAACTATACCTTATTGACGAAACGCCCATTCAGGACAATCCGACGATTCAACTGCTCGGCGAAAACTAAAGCTTGCATTCAAGCAACTCTTTCTTTAACCGAGTTTTCAGTTGTTACAGCGGAATCCATAGCATTAATGCGATAATTTCATGAGTTACGTAAACTTTTGCTTCCCCTATGCTGCAGTTTCGAGACAACGTACCTGAGAGGACTAAGATTTCCTTCATCCCTGCTGAAACAACTTCGAAGAAAAAAGGAACCTGCTTACAAGATCAAACTGACCGCCCCAGTCAAAAGCCAGAATTTACCAATAAAAGCTAAAATAAAGAGACTAAAATGTTGATTTGATATCTGACTGATATAAAACTGCTTTATAGCGCGGCTCATCCTCCACTGTCCTGCACGTTGTGAATGCACAGAGGACGCAGCTGGCCCCCAGAGCAACGACTTCCTTTGCAAGCCGTCGCCAATCGAGGCTGCAAAGGAAGTCGTTGATCTGGGGGCCAGCTGTGTCCGCTGCGCATTCACAACGTGCAGGTCAGTGAAGGATGAGCCGCGCTATATCGCAGTTAGATATCAGTCACAACGGTCCGGCGCCGTCGCCCATGTCTCAGTGACATAAGTCGCCGACTCGCAAGAGTAAAGTCGTGCGTTCGAATGCAGCAGGATTCGGCCGGTGCGCGATACTGACGAGTCCCAATAGGACGAAACGGTCTTCTAGCGCTTTCCTGAAAGTGTGGTGGCTGTCAGCTTGTGTTTAACTGCGACGAAACTACACAAAAACCTAAGAAATCCCCCTACTGCCTACAGATATAGCTATTATCAGTGAGTGCAACCGGACAAGCTTGTGGTGCAGAACAAATGCCGGCAGTTCACGTCTACCTCCAAGGCAGTTGTAGGTTGACAACTTGTTGTTTCCGTACGCACACGGGTGGATTTATCTGGCTTATATCGACAGTCTCAGCAAATTGAAGGAAACATGGATTAGTGTGACTTAACAAAACTTTACATGCTGGGCCTAGCTCAGTCCGATGACCCGAGTCTAATAGGTGATCGTCTATCAAGGAAGCTGGAGGTCTATTCGAGCACGGAATCTGACGGATGTAGGAAAGTTGGGCAACATCACTCTGTGGCGATGTTTGCACATGCTCCGTTATCCGGAAAGTCAGAGTGCTATTAGTTCTGCCTGTGTAACTGTTCCCGCATTCAGACACAAATTGCAATACACCGTGTGAGTTAGCCGCGATACGCTAAGCTATCTTCGTTGTAGGTATAGATAAATTTCAGGTTCGATTGATGACGACAGCTTGCGCATCATTGTAACTTCCTTGTGTAGCCGAACTTATAAGTTTAGTTTTCCGTAGCTTGACTTAAGCACCTTTGAAATATATCTCGATATACACTTTCTTTTTGGCTGCCACGTGCGCCAAATCTTTGGCCAATGCGGTTGCCTAGGCTTTTGTTAAATGTTGGAGGTTAGTTGTTCGCCAATATTTTTGCTGTCATTAATATGAGATCCTGGTTCAGATAGTCGGCTAAACCAGCATCACAACCGACGAAGCAACGCATGGGACGAGCTGATTGTACATCGAACGGTCCGTATGAATTGCTCTATTTTCCAGTTGGATCTGGAATATGGCCAACCAAATATCTGGGCTGTGCTCCATGAAACTTGGAGCAGACGAACTAAGCATGTCTACACTGTGCAATGAGTCAGATGCCACTTTTGTGCATAGGGATAAATGATGAACAAATATCCAATGGAATCTTTAAACTTATGCAATTAACTGATATATACACTTGCGAAATCTAGCAAAATGAACGAACTCACCAACATAGGAACGAAGAAAAGGAATAACTTCAATCGCACGAATCAGGGTCGTCAAATTTTAGGGCCACTAAATACTAATCCGAGATAATGCGCGCTCTCGGGCGCAGATAACAGAAGGGAAATTAATTCGGACACAGCGGATTATCTTCGAGGGGCTTTGAAAAAAACGTGAACGAAAGAAGCGAGACAGGAGCAAACGTTAGCACAATAACTTATAAAGCAGCCGACTGTCATGCTAGATGTAGGCCAACATGGCTTTGGAGGAAGGAAGATAATAACGAGAAAGAATAATGTACAATTTGTCAGCGATGAAATGGTACATGAAAGATAGTAGTTATCATTTGAAGTGTTAGGTCTTCCAGTCCTACACTTTCTATTTTGGTAAGCATGGTATTTTTAATACTTTACTTCTTTCCTAAACAGAGCTGAACCCAGTTTGACAGCAGTTATGGACGCCATTTAAATATTCTGGCACTACATAGGAGTGAACGCATTTCGGTATTTTAGAGATAAAATGAATAGCGCCCCACTTACCTCGCACTGATTAAATCCATTGAATCTGACCTGAAAACAACCATGATGACTGAGTGATTATCTATGTTGCGTTCTTTATGCTTACTGGGTATTTTCCTCAATAAACGAGTTATGGAGCATCAATAGCAAACCTAAAACAATCACAGAGCACGGATACTAAGTTTCAGGGGTGAGCTAGGAAAGAATTGCTCTTACTATGGATTTGTTTCGAAGATATAAAGTCTAGCTGGAAATGTTAATAAAGTTCCACTCCTGAATTATTCCTACTACTGTTGTCTTTACTCTACTTGTTTTCACAAAATATTGATGTAATCCTTAGAAGTTGTGTACAGTTAATTATGGATGGCATTCAAACAAAATGCATACAGGTATATCTTTTGATTCGCATTAAGATGAAGTGCGCCGGCATTAGCATTAAACAGCCCACAACAGCTAGATTACAAAACGATGACACAAGGATAATTAGTACATTCCATTTGAAAGGTTTTCCAGAGAAGCCATGTTAAAGCAGCTATTACGCGGACAAATTTGCAGCAACCATCTGTAAACTTTTAATAAAAGAACGCGTTTTATTCTGCATTTAAACGTTTTTTATGCTCCAGTCCTTTCGTAAGCAAACTGAAAGGACATTTGAACTAAAATCAAGCAGCTTTCTTAAAAAGCGTTTTAAAATTTATTTTATTGTGATAACTATGTTTACGTATTCAGGTTTCGCTATAATAGTGTTAAAGGAATTCTAGTCAGGATTTGATGGAATCCAATGCTGTCCACCTCCAGATAGGTGGATTTGTCATTAAAACATTCAAGCAAAGTTCACTTTAGGAAGGAAAACGGTTTATACTTTAAGATCTTGACAGTTATTTATTGGTCTACCAATGCTTTAGTTCGTGTTGTCTGCGAGAGTTGAATGTCTTCCGTGATATTACTTTCTTTTACCCCTTGTTAACGATCTCTATTTGGGTGGGTTAGACTCAAGTTTGACACTTTAATATTCATTTCTTAACAGTCGAACTAACGCTGGTTAATTTGGCCTGCTAAGTTGCTCTAAGACCTTTCGTGTAGATTATCGTTGTTCGTGAAATTTGTAAGACTTGACCGAAGTAATATAAGTCAACAATATTTCACACCATAAGTGCCAAATATGGAATGACGGAGGCTGTGTTATGGCAAAGGGCTACAAGTACCAGAAAACAGCTTAGTAAGAGAGGAAACAGCGTAGTGCTGAACTCACAGTAGGGAAGCAGAGGCGTTGGATTTACAATCTGTAAAAGCGACGTAAAGTTGGGAAGTACAACAATCAATAAAACCCAATGAAAACGAGATACTGGATGAGCAGCTTGTTACTCTAACTATAAGAAACATTTGTTCTACCGTGCATGTATCCAAGCTTAATGGCTCGTTGTTTTATTCTCTTAAATTCCTGACTATGTGGATTTATGCTTGTTCACCGAGTCCAAAAATGGAATTGCATTGAGCTTTAGCAGTGGTTTCTATATGAATTTATTGAGGTTCCTCGAAGGAGGATTGCAGTTGTTTCCACGAAGTTTCATATTAGATTGCCAACTAGCAATTATAATTGATCCTAGTCAGTACTAATAATAAAAAACTATGCAGTTTGTCAAAATGAATACTTGCCTTAAGAGTCGATTATAAGACAGTTGTATGTGATGTACCGACATTTTTTCAACGGCGCCTTACGATGGCAGGTGTCATACTGTGATCAGTTTAATATAATTTTGCTGCTAGTTTTAATCTGAGGCCTTCTGTATATAAGCTTAAAATAATAAGCTGGAGTTTCCTCCAAATGAGAGTAAACCAAACATACGTTTTTGGTTAACGCATAGGATTTCATTGTGAGCTAGGGAGGATGCACACGGATACACACATGCTGTCTACGTTGGCTTTACTCTTGCTTCACGCAAGCGGAACCATTTCATTGGTGGTACCTCTTCAAAGACTACTTAGATCGCGATGCTGGTTGGGCAGAAGCAGAAACTGTAACATGCGTTCTACACAGCAAATATTGCACTTACCGGATTGGTTAAAACTTTTAAAGTTTTGTTATTAAAATAT